CTCATCCCAGGCGTTACGTCTCTTGTATGACGTAATCGACATGACGTTCACAATGACGGGCGGTCCCAGTGTGGGTCTGAGGGGGGCTCAGGTCGCGGCCCTCGGCTAGAGCTGAGCCCCGGGGCAGCAGCTGGGGATGAGCGGTGCTGGAGGATGGAGCTCCATCCTCGCTGTTAGTGTGGCGTCAAAGGCAGAAATTCGGGCATAAGCAGAGGCAGAGCTGCTCAGGGTAAGGAGGCGAGGGCGTCAGCGTCCGAACAGCCGCTTCACTGACAGCCGGTAGGATTCATTGAAGACGTTCACCGTGTCCAGCTTCAAAGCAAACTTCCTTCTAGCAGTGTTAGCAGGGAAAGCAATTCTGATTCATTTGTCGCTGCTTTATGAAGCAAAGTGGAATTTTATCTCTTGTTTTCAGGCTCAGGGGCACAAGGAACAGCATATTCAAAAGGGTGAAGAGGGAGTTTGGACAAGAGTCTGGAGCCACAGCACAAGGCAGGGAATGGCTCACCACTGCCTGAGAGCAGGGTTAGGTGGGAGATTGGGAAGAAATTGTTCCCTGGGAGGGTGGGCAGGCCCTGACACGGGGTTTCCAGAGAAGCTGTGGCTGCCCCTGGATCCCTGCAAGTGTCCAAGGCCAGGTTGGATGGGACTTGGAGCAACCTGGGACAGTGGAAGGTGTCCCTGCCCATGGCAGGGGCTGGAATGGGTTGAGCCTTAAGGTGTCTTCCAGCCCCAGCCATTCCATGGTTCTGTGATGTGGGCCTGCCTTGAAGGGAGGCAGTGTCAGCTGCTTTACTGGCAACACTCGGTCTCTGAACCTGCTGACAGGTTATTTTAATCATTCAGATTTTAGATAAAGCCAAAATTGCAGCTGGGCAAAACCAGTTTGACTCCAGTAAAGCCTAAAGGCAGTGACATTGGCTGTTGCTCGGTCTGTTGGCTCTGAATGAACTCTTAAAAACCACAGACTGGGTTTTGTCTATCAGAAAAGGCCCTTATGTGCTTGGCTTTTATATCTGTTTAAAACACCGTTTTTCCTGTCCTGGTCCCTTCTTTCCCCTTTGATTTTGGTGCTTGGGTTAGAACAGTTGTCTGGACACCAGTACAGATGTGTCAGAGCAAACTGGAAACAGAAAGTGAAAGAATTGTTACTATAAGCTTTACATTTGGAAGAAAATGAACCTCAAGTTCTTCTGACTCTTTGTTTTTCCCACTGGGTCAATTTTCATTACATGCAGAGTGTTGAGGGGTTGAGTGTAGCTCTTGTGTGTGATATTAGCTGAGAAGAGAGCAAGTTATTCATTGTTACAAATTAATGAAGTGTTGGTGTAAAAGATGCATTATCAGGTCACCTGAAGAAATCCATGATGAGTTGGTCACCTTTTCAAAGAGAGCATCTTCCTGTTTTAGAGAAATCAAGATACTTTGTTTCATTTCACTTAATATTTGTCTTCAACATAATCACGAATCAGAAGACATGATTTTGGGGAAAAAAATCAGTAGAACTGACCTTGTTTTAAGTGAATGTGCACTTCAGAATAATGCTGCCTTTTTAGAAAAGAATGGCTTGAATGTTTAACATGGGAGTGGTCTTACTTCCCTTTATTTTCACTTTTTCATTAATTATTCAGTTCATCTTCTTGCCACAAATATCACTGCTCCTTTCTTGATGTACAAAATAACAGAATTGGTTGACATGGTCACAATAATCCCTGTTGGGGTAGAGTCATGGGATGGAGAGCTGGGATGAGGCCACATTGTTGTTTGGAAGGATGATGATGGTTCCAATGGTTCCCTTTTCTGACAGCTTGCTCCTGGCAGTTGGGGTCTCTCCCAACTCATTTCTTAAGGTAAAGAACAGAAAAACAGGACAGGCAGAGAGTTAATCTCTGTGGGGTGGTACTAGAAACATAAGTGCTTGATGGCAGCTGTTTGCAGCTGCATTTTGGAACTTACTTAGCTGCATTTTAATAATTTTGAATGCCTTGTATTGATTCTGTTGGATTTTAATTAATCATTTTGTCCCCTAATACTCCTTTAGTGGTTTATAGAAATTACCCCTCTGATAACACAGAGAGCTCTCGTTATCAGCTGAATGTAGGTCTGGGTTTTTATAAACTGTGTTGACTTGGCTTAATTTTATTATCCCTCTTTATTCATCAATTCCCGTATAAGCCCTTTCTTTATCAGCCTTTTGTTGAGCTCAATCTGCAAGATGGGTGTTTACTTCCCTAATTGTCCTTTTTGAAAAATCACAGTGACTTCTGCTTGCAAATGATCCGATTCTATTGACAGAAACACCTTCAGCAGCTGCTTTTCAATGTGCTTTGGCTTGCTCCTAAAATAGGCTGCTTTCAGCACCATCAGGGGATGGATATTATGGAAATATTTAGTATTTGCAGGATTAACAGTTCCACAGTTTATGTAGTGGCCTCGGTAGATTTTTATTCTTAGTTTTCATGTACACCAATAAAGGACTTTTTTGAAAGTCCTTAACTTTTTCTGACAGCGTAATTTTACCTCCTGGTTTTAATACATTGCATTGTTTAAATTCTTTGTTTCTATTCAGAATCCAATTCCATCACCATGATATTATTTTACATCTTTGTTTTTATTATCACTCTCATTACTTTTCTTTCTCTGAAAACCAGGTGAGTTTTTATCAAATATGGTTCTCTTTATTGATTTTTGGGTCCTCTACCAAAATGTTTTTGTTCAGTCCTTAAAATCAATTGTATTATTCTCTTAAAATTAATAGCTTGTTGTTTTCAGTCAAACCAATTTGATTTTTGCATCACCAGCTGCTTCTGTTTGTGATTTGTGTGCTCCTGTGTTTGCATACAACCAGGAGCACTTGCACCTGAACGATCGTTAGTTTTTATTTTTCTCCTCACTTCCCCTTTGTCCTTCCAGAGGAGGTATAAAGTGAATTTTCTATTCTGGGGATGTGTTGGTAGAGGGACACTTTGTTGTGTAAGTAATGATTTAAAATTCTGTCTGGAATGTGTTAGATTTTTTTTTTAGTGACTGTGAAATGCTTTGAAATTCTTTACCATATGAACAGGGTGCTGGCAAGGGGAGGTGTAGCCCTGAACAGAAATGTGAGGACCGAAGGGATATCAGATCTGGAAGTGGGTGGTGTCAGATGGACACTGATGCTGATCCCTGCTGAGATTGCTCCCTGGAATCTCAGTATGATTTTCCCACCTAGCATTCCCTTGTTTATAGAGACTTGAATTAATTTCTCATTTCCTGTTTTTTGCATCTGGTTTGTTACCCTTCTCTGGCACAGGGAAGCTGGCAGAGACCAAGACAAGAGAGCTGTACCCTCTTTGGATTCCTGTTTTACACTTACATTTGTTCTCTCCTCACAGAACAAGCTCTGCTGTCCTCAGTGTTAATTTTTTTTGCACTTTTACAGCTGCAGAGACTCTGCACTGTACTGATGCAGTGTCATGTGTTTATGAAGTAGTGATAAAGGTGTTGGTTAGTGCAGGAACCTGCAGAAAACAGGCTCTAGTGAAGAATACCCCAAAAGATGGAAGATCATGTGCTTTTTCAGAAGTCACACTGTCACAAGCCAGCATGGTGCATCCCATCATCCTGCTGCTGCCATCACACTGTGTTAGTGGCTGGGGTCATGCAGGCCCTGGCAATTTGCTGATTTCTGTAGACTGAGGTGAAGCTGGAGGGAGGGGTGGGGGAGAAAGGTGGCTTCCTTTGGACTCACTCCAGTGGGTCTACGTTCTTCCTGCACTGGGACCCCAGACAATAATTCAGGTTTTGTTTTTGCCTCACTTTCTAATGTTAAATAATCCCATTTCCCTTAGCATTTCCTGTGAAATACAAGAGATTGCTTCCAAGGTGTCTCCCTGGCTTTGGAAGTATAAAAGTGAATTTTTCTTTCAAGATGAGGAATTGAGGAGGAGATGTCCTGAGGCACCACTGTGGTGCTCGGGAGGGGAGAAGCAATCTGCTGTGTGCAAGTTGTGGAGGCCTGCTTAGCACTGATGGACTGTTGTAGCCAGGGTGATGACATATTCCTGGAGACTGAAATGGCAGGAGAATTGTTCCTGGAACAGACACACAGTGTAAAGCAGCAAGTGAGCAGGCCCAAATGTTCTGTGTTTGAGAGCATGTCAAGTTGGACTGCTGGTGGAAAAATATTTTCAGGGGTTAAAAGAGAGGCTGCTCTGAAAAGTGGGAGGGTAACAGATGTTTTAGCTGTTTGGGTTTTTTAAAGGGTTTTATGATTTAAGTAATTTCAAGGCAGTAAATTGAAGGCATGTAATAGGTGAATACTTTTAAATCACAGAATAATTTGAGTGGGAAGGGACTTTAGAGATAATCCAGTTTCACCCCCCTGCCACAGGCAGGGACACCTTCCACTATTCCAGATTGCTCCAAGCCCTGTCCAGCCTGGCCTGGAGCACTTCCAGGGATGGGGCAACCTGCACCAGGGCCTCACCACCCTTGCAGGGAGGATTTTCTTCCCCGTATCCCATCCTACTCCCTGGCAGTGGGAAGCTGTTACCCCTTGTCCTGTCACTCCAGGCCCTTGTCCAAAGTCCCTCTCCATATTTTTTTGTAGGCTCCCATCTGGTACCTATTGAAATGGTGCAAATGGTCATCAAGAGCAATCATTTCAAAATACACTAAATCCATCCTTTTTCCTCCATTTACCAGGTTCTATCTTTCATTCTTACAGGTCCTGCTTTGCACCATTTTCCTGATCCATGTTTACTTGAAGGGCACAGCTGGGCTACAGATTTGGTATCTCAGTGAACAGGTAAGTGCTGCTGATTATTTTATTTGTGATTTGTTGAGTCCTAAAATCTTCCAAAATTTACTGACTATTACACTGAAAGAAATTACTTTCAAAATCATCACTTTTTGAGGTTAAACTGGTGCCAGAGCTGGTTTTTATGGGCAGCAATAGCAGCAACTTAAGAAATACTGAGATGTTGAACAGGGCAAGAACCTGTAAATGCAGGTCTGGAGATGGAGGAGTAATACAGATAAATTCTTAGTTTTGCATCATAGGTGTGTCTGATCTGCCTGGGACACTGAACATTGATAGCAAATGCCAAAATGCTGATCTGTTTCTAAGATTAATATCAGGAACTCACCATAAATAATCCAGCAGTACAGATGTGTCTGAGGTATTTAAAGCCATGTAGGATATGAGATTTGGGACTTCTCCACATGCTGTCTCCTTAAAAGAAAATGGTCAATTACAGTTATAACTACATCAGGGTTCTGTCCAGAAAAAGTAAATTTATGAGCCAGCTGCATAAAACTTTTGTTTCTCCCTAACAGAATATTACTCCAAGATTCACAGCAAAATCCTCTGCAGGTTTGGGAGCCTGAGTATAAAATAAATAAATCCATTAACATCTGTAATTGCTTATAGGAAAGACTGACCCATGGGAGTGTGTAACCAGCATTCCTCTGCCTCTCATGTCTGCAGCCAAGCCATTTGAGAAAATAATCTCCCATGAGTTTTTCGTGCTTTTTGAGTCTTTCTGTGCCCAGAGCTTTACTGGAGAAACTGGACCACAGCTGCTGCCATTCCAAGTGAAACACTGGTTTAGGTTTGAAAGAAGTGGGGTTTGGGAGCAATATAAAACCCCTGGTAAAATAGCCAGAACCATCATGAACTCAGGACTAGGACGAAGGGGACAATGAAAATATGTAAGAATAGAGCTCTAGTTTTAATGTTGCCTGGGAGTTGATGGCATTTCCATCTGGACACTGTACCCAGTGCTGTTCCAGATAATCCCTGCCTAGTACTGCTGTTCTTGCTGTAGCTGAAAAGATTAAGAAATTAATTTTAAAATACCATTTATTTAGTGACAGCAGTTTGGGAAACATGGTCAGTGCCATGGTTTCTTGAGTATTCAGGGGAAGAATTCAGCAGGAGCTAATCCTAAGTGAGCAACTGTAGAGGTAAGAGGAGAAAATGTGAACATGTTTAATAAAATTGTTCTCCGACTTGCCCCAAAACCCCTTCTGAAATGCCAGAAACTCCATTTATTTACTTCTCAAAATGAAGTTGATCTCTCCTCTCTGCAGCTGTAATGTCTCAAAGTGGAGTTTAACACTCCAGAATCTGCTTGAGCTGAAGGATGGTGTTTTTTTCCTGTTTCATTCTCTGGTTTTGTGCCATATAAATATAAGTAGGAATGTGCATGATGAAAGGACAGTCCAAATCCAGAGCCCCAAGATGAAAACCTACCCCATATCAGATACTTGTTTTAAAATCTTTCCTCTCCTTTGCTAATGTGTCTTGGGCATGTCTGTTGTACAGTTATAGGGACACTGTTTGGGGTCAGTATGTGCTGTTTCTAATTTTAGTATTTCATGCAAATTCTCTTCTCTTCAGCAGTTTACACCTTGTCCCTCACTGCATCTGCCTGTACAATTGTGCATGACCACCTTCTTTTGTTTCTTTAAGGGCTTTCTTAAGTGTCTCTCTGAAGCTCTGTAGATTACCATGATGATCCTATACATGCACTGCACAAACTGAGGTGCCTAATTTATGGTCCAGAGTCTTCTGAAGAACTAGCTTGTGAAAGCAGGTTCCTTGGAGAGGAAAACATGCTCTGCTGAATGTGAATTAAGTGTGGAAGAATGAACTGTTGGAAGTGCCCACCCTGTCTGGCAACCTCATTGGAGTCTGGAGAATGGACATCTCTGAGGTGCTGGAAGGGCTGATGCAAATCTGAGCTGATTCTGGTGCTTCCCTCTGCCCTCCAGTCCTCACAGAGTTCATAGGCCACAGTGGTACTGGAAAGCCAATGGATGAACAGGACAATGATTTTAAAGAGTTGTGGGCAAATATTTTGAGTAGGGCAAAGAAAAAGGCTGGAGATGCTGAGGCAACAAAGAGGGCTCAGAACAGGCCAAAGAGCACCACAACACGAAGCAAATTAAGAAGAGGCAAAGCTGCTGCCAAGAGCCAAACCCATCATCACTTACCAGCAGTGAAAGAGACAAACTTGCCTCGAGATTTGGGTCCAAAGGAGCAAACACTGGTGCATGAAGAAGATGGTGATGCTGCAGCCTGTGAGACTGCACAGGAGAATGGAGCAAGAAGCCCTCTCCCTGCCAGCCAGCTGAGCACAGAGACCACTGAGTGTAGCCAGAGGTCTCTGACAGGTGAGTGATCTGAACTTGTTCAAACAGAAGATAGGTAAGGACTGGAAAGACTGTGCAGCTCAGTGAAGGTTTTAAGAAATCCATCTGGAGGGGACACAGTAGCACTGTTGGAAGCAGGCTTGCCCCTTACACGGGTTTAACCTAAGATTGTGTTCTGTGCTGCAGGCAGAAGATGTCCCTCAGTAAGGTGAAGCCTTGGTACAAAGTGATTTGTTGGCCAGTCATTATTCACTGTTTTTTGAAGTATCAGAACTGAGAAAAATAACTCTCAGATCATCTAGAAGCAAGCTCATTGTGGTGCTTTTTCACTCAGTGCTTCATTGTATGATGGCATATTATCACATCAACTGGATGTTGTCAAGGGCAAAAACATGATTGAGTTAGGAAAGGTAACTTCATAAATTCTTCATAAAGAATTAGTCCTTCAGTAGCTGTTAAACACAATGGCCAGAATGCAGTCACCAGTGATGGAAGTTCTTAAACTGATAAATTAGGTCAGTCAGGAATGGGACATTGTGTGGTGGGAATGGTGGGAGAGCAGGGCTGTGGGGCTGCCTTCCTTGTCCCTGCTGGAGACCTTCCTGCAAGGCTTCCTTAATATTCCTGCCTCTAGAAGGATACAAAGGTCCCTAAACACCCCTGTAGCACAGAACCCTGAGTTGTTACTGTGGCTACACAAATTGTTCACTTCTCCAAGAATGGCTGTTGCAGAACTGGGCTTGGCCCAGGCTGCTCTCAGGGAAGGGCCTCCCAGCAGCTCTCAGTGTGTGTTTAAAGCTGCCTGGTAAAACTGGTGTTTTCTCCCCCTCTAGTAAATCCTCTGAGTGGCTGTTCCCAGACTACCTTACCCTTCCTTCCTGCTACTCCTCCAGGAACCTGCTCCTCACCCACCCCAAAGGTGCGGGTGGCAGAGCTGGTGGTGGAGAGAATGCAGCAGTTCAAGAGGGTGGCACCCGAGCAGCTGAAACACAGTTCGGATGGGAGCGTTCCAAAGGCTGCAGCCAGCGGGGATTTTCCTGTCAGGAGCCAGGAGCAGAACCCTCCTGAGGATGGTACGTGTCTCCTCTTGGCTCTGGTGTGTGCAGAATGAGTGGCTGGTGAGAATGTGGAGTGCCTGAAGAGCGGTCCTGGATGCCCAAGCTTTGTTCCTGGCTGGCTTAGTGGCTTGGTGTGCAAATCACTCCAGATCCTTGAGAAAACTTCCTTAAAGGATTATCCATGCTTTTTTTTCCCCAGCTCTTTTCTAGAGCTGGATGAACCTCATGTAAATTCTGGAGGAATAATTGTCTTTTTGGAAACAGGTTGAAATTGCACCAGGAACAGTGAACTTGGTCATCCTTCCCTTGGGACAGTGTTAGGCAGCTCTTAGGTAGCCCCATCTTTGTACATCTCCATGTCTAAGGTGATAAGTTCTGTGTTGATGAACTGAATTCACAGCAAATTTACTCTGGCTGGTTCTTTATACATCAAGTCCTATTGGTTCTGTATGGATGTGAAAATCTGCTGTGTTATACATTCAATGTGTGAAAATTCCATATTCTCCCTAGAAACTTTAGCCAAAACTGTCCCTTCGTTGTCTCTGATATGTGATGCACTGTGAGCTAATTGTCACCTCCTGCTCCTGGGCTAGGTCCAGTCTTGGAGTGTTGGAAAGGAGCAGGTTGTACCTTTCCCAGTGAGAAATCAGGTGTGAAGGTGCAAAAGAAAAATTGCAGTTAATTTTTGTGTGTCTATTTTAATAAGCTAATAATGACAAGTGTAACAGTTTCTCACCTTCCATACAGCATTTAGTTTTCCATCTTATATCATCTCTGCCTTCTTTGCCAGATACCCACCATCTCCCATCTGTGGAACACGACAGTGCTCTGGCTTTGGCTCTTCAGCAGGAATCCAAGGAGGAAGCCCTGGCAAGCCTGGAAGATGCAGGCTTGTTCTTCTGTCAGATCTGCCAGAAGGATCTCACAGCCATGAACACCCTGCGACGAGAGCAGCACGTCAACAGGTGAAACACCAGCAGGACCTGTCCTTTCCATCCAGCCCCCCATAGACTCCTCACTCAGCCCAGCCATGGAAGAACTGGGAGCAGGGATTCTGCATGACAGTCTTTACCTTTCTGGCTTGAATTAACGAGTCACTTTGATGTGAAAGCAGAGGCTGATTGCCTTGCCCTGCAGGGCTTCTGCATGTGTGTGGCCAGGCCAAATCTGCTTTCATTAGCAGTGTGGCAGAGGAGCTGCCATTCTAAAGGAACTTGGTAGTCTTAAAGGTCTTTTGTAGCCTTAGTGATGACTCCCTAATGCAAATTTTGAGATCTACTGAGTTCAGCCAACAAAATTATGTTTGCTCTGTTTTGCTAAAATTCATCTAAGGATATTTGGTATGTCACTGTACCTGAGCTGTTTGCTTAGGATAATGTGACACAACTCAGAGAGATGACTCAATTGAAATTACTGACTTTCATTTAACAATTTCCTTAGTGATAAATATCAAATACAATATGTACAGGCAACTCTTTGGAAATTGAAACTGTGCTTTTCTGTTGGCGAAGTATCAGAAACAACACATTTGAATGATTGTAAATTCTTAATTCAAGTACTTCAAGAAAGCAGGAGTGATGTAAATTGTCTAGTCCTACATCAGTGGCTCCCACTGATCAGGCTTGCTTGCACCTGCAGCTTTCTAAGTGTTACTGTTGCTTCTGTTTTCAGACATTTTGTGCTGCTTGAGGACAAAAGCTGTAAAACAGTGACAGTGTGCTAGATGTATTTTTTGAAAAATCAGGCTTTCTGAACTATTAACATGTCATCATATGTAGAGATTACAAGATTATATTAGCCAGGGATTTTTTGATAGCAGCCTTCATCCCAAGAATGAAGCTGTAGGTGGACAGATGGACTGACACAGCAGTAATCACCAGTGCTGAATGCTCTCTTAGCACAGCCTTGTGGGTGTCATTACCTAATCAGGGAGTGACTTTTGCAATAGGTCCTGCAGATCCAGAATTTCACACCCTGAATCTCTTTGGAGAGAACAGAAAAAGAACAAGTATAAATTTTTACATAGTTTCAGCCTGCCAGAAGTTATTGGAAGTTCATCATGCTGCACTCTGGAGCATGGTGTCAATTCAGCTGCTCCCTTTTCTGTTAACAGGGGTTTATAAATGAGCTGGAATGTTAGAATGAATGCAGAAAGAGGGATGACACATATGAAGTGTGTTCTTTGGAGATGCTGTGGACTCCTCATTCCTAGAGGTGTTCAAGGCAAGGCTGGAGTAACCTGTTCTAGTGGAAAGTGTTCCTGCCCATGGCAGGGGGGTGGATCAGGATGGCCTTTAAGGTCCCTTCCAAGCCAAACCATTGTGGGACTCTGTGATTCTGGAGTTATTCACTTCACTTGCCTTTGAGCAATATGTTTTTAATATGCCTCTGAGATCATTATCTCCATGTAATTGTTCCATGTCATGTTTATCACAGTGGTGGCCACATAATTCTTGTTTCTTTAGTGGATGTTCATGGCTGTTACCAATATTAGAAGTGATTGTGCTTTTAAAATAATTATTGTTGTTGTTGTTGTTATTATTACTGTTCCTTTTGATGGCTTCAGTCTCAGCATGGATCCTTCAAAGTCTCCATAGGTAAGCTTTGCCATTGTCTCCCAGGTGTCTGGATGAGATGGAAGAAGCACAGATGTCATCCTCCAGCAAACCAGTGGTCCCTGAGTGTCCCATCTGTGGGAAGCAGTTCCAATCCCCCCAGAGCCGAGTCAGTCACCTGAAACGCTGTGCTGTGGAGATGGATGTGCCTCCTAATCTGCTTCTTCAGGCAGTGCAGTTGCAGGTGGCCACACTTGGTGATGCAGCTCTTCAGTGTCCCAGGTAAGCTGGTAGGATAAACAAAAGATGCTGGTTGCTTCCTTTGGCCTGAGAGTTGTTGGAAGTTGGGAAGAACAGTGAATGCAAGGCTGACTCACACACTGGGCAAATCCTGAGCCCAAAGCAGGTCAAGTAGAGCCATGACCCAGTACCAGGTGAGGAGGATGTGGCAGTCAGTTGGAGAAATTGTCTTAATTTTCCTCAGAAGAGGTCAGGTGGTGGATGACTTTAAAAGCCAGCAGGCAGGAGCAAATGGGGAGTAAATAACCTCCCAGTGGTTTGTCAGAATGATTTGTGCTCTGTGAGGCAATTGCTCAGTAAAGCTGAATGGTGTGTTTGAGCTGATTGAGCAAACCACAGAGTAAGAGTGTGGAGCCTTTCCTGAGATCTGTGGTGCCAGTGCCTCAGCTCATGGCTGTCCTGGGAACATGCTTTCACCCTGAGCTAAAGAGGAAGCAGATGTGATGTTTTGGAATGTGGTACAGAACTGCTCACTTGGATTTGAGCAGAATCTTCAGAGTGTAGCAAGTGGTGCCTGAGTGAATTTGTGGAGGAGCTCATAAGTCCCATTGTGCCAAGGAAGGATTGACTGTTCCTTGTGGAAGCAGAGAGGTGGGAAGGCATTTTCTGGTGATCTGGTTTTCTCCCTGCTTCAGCTTATTTGTTCCCCTTTGGTAAAAAAAAAAAAATCATTCAAGGTAGAGACAGCAGATGCTTATATCCCAAAATAAGACTTCTCTAAATTTCTCTAAATTCCATGAATGATAAGAAATCCTTTGCTCTCTGCTAGAAAAGAAAGTATTGAATAGTTTTTATTATGCTTGACATGGGAATCTCTCTGAGCAAATGGAACAGCTGCTCAGGAGTACTCCATGATTGTTGTGTCTGATCCAGTCACATTAACTTTTGGCTTTTGGCTTCCTCCTGCATTCTTGGATTTCAGCAATCAACCCAGCAGGGCAAAGCGGAAAGGCCCCTCCACCGAGGACTCGAGGAAAACACAGAAGAAGGCCAAAATAGAGCCTAAGGATGAAGATTTGCAGGTTGCCATAGCAATGTCACGCTCTCTGTTGGAGCAAGAAAAGCAGGAACAAGCAAAATCAGTTACAAATATGAAAGCAGTGGCTGCTTTCCCAATCAAATGGAAGCCAGGATCAGGTATGTGTTACAGCAAGGCAGTGTCTGAGGCTGTGTTATTGCAGGAGTAACATGGCTGCTCTCCACCAAAACTTCCCTATTGGATACAGGAGGGATGACAGCCCTGTTCCTGGTTTGTTTAAGCTGTCAGAGCTTCAACAATATGCAGTATCCAGACAGTCAAGAATGACTGCAGGATGTCCATGGGTTTCAGGAATCTTGTGCTTTTTTTCACTGATCTGTTGTTTTTAATCTGGAAAATAGTCTTAAGCTGTCGTTTCTTGTAAATTGTGGAAGTGAGGAGATATAACATGAAAATATGGTAGTTACTTCTCCTGTAGTAGATTCTTTTCCTATTCCTCCTGCTGCAGCCTGGATTAATGCAGCTTTTTCAGCATTATCTCGTATCATTTTGTCCTTTCTGCAGTGCCATGTGTGTCCAGTACATGCTGCTGAGCAGAGCCTTGCCATTTCAGAGTGCAGAAAGGTTTAGAAAGGCAGACAGCTTCCAGGGGAGAGGGTTGAGAGCTGTACAGAGGGGAAACTTCACAACCCTGCTCCTGCCCACAGGTACCCCAGTTGGATTTGGAGTTGGGCATTAGTAAGGCAAAGGTAGTAAGGCACAGGATTTCCAAATGAAAGCTGCCGAATGTTTGTGGGAGCTGTGGTTTGATATCACCCATGACCAGAACACAAGAAAAGGAGTCCATGGGCCTGTTGGTGTTCATTTCTCTCTTCATAAGGGCCATGTGAGGTTTTGGATTCCCTGCACAATTTTAAGAGTTGTGTTCCCATGCCTTTCAGTGCTGTAATCAGTCACTGAAGCTGCTGTGTTGATCTCTGCTCTGTCTGTTCAGTTGTTTACTTACTTGGGTTCCTTTTCTTTTTAAAGACAAAAAAAGGCGTAGAAAAGGCGCCAGTGCCCCTCCACCTCTGCTGCTCCAGGACCCGGAGAAGGCCCAAAAGAGGATCCAGGAGCGAGTAGCTATGATGCTGACGGAAGAGGTGGAGTTCCCTCCCACCCCTCAGCTGCCCATTAGTAGGATTCTGGAGGATGAGTCTGGAAAAGCAGCCTGGCTCATGCCATTGTCCAAAGCCAAGGAATGCTTTTTATGGAAGAGCAGTGCTCTGACAGGACCATGTGACCCCGAATCATTCTACACTGCAGCCTTAACCCCTCCAATTGTACCCTGGAAACCTGTGCAGGTGGGGCTCTGTTGTCCTTGCTCTCATATGTGTGTGCCCTAGTTCCTGATACTTGCCCTAAATCCCTTCTGTATCCTCATTTGGAATGTAAACCAGTGATCCCCTTTCTCTGCAAACTTGCTGCCCATGATCTGTTCTCCCCTGCTCTTACACAGTCAGGTTTGAAGATCTTGAACTTTTCATTTCTGCGTTTTGGAGAGAATAAGGTTCATGCTACCATGATTCTTGAGCTTTCAGAAAATAAAAGGGATGGGAATAGAGAGTACTGAGTAAAGGGATCCCATCGTGATCATTTTGCCATTAGTTTGTCCAGATTTATAGCAGCCTGGCTTTTGTTTTTGTACTTGGCACTTTTTTCTGGACAGTTTTAGTGTGAACTTTGCCCATGGTGCACTCAGCTAGGATTGGGGAAAAAAGTTTAAACCTGATATTTGCTAGCACAGAGAAGGTGGGAGTGCCTGGAGTTGTCCAGCAAAGCATTTGCACTCAGGCCTTCCCTGTGCATCCCACTACCTCCTGGTGCATGTGAGCTTTGATCCAAATCACAGTTCCACTCTTTCAGTTTGGTTCCACCTGGATCTGCCTCTTGCAGTGTTCTGTATTTTTATAAAAAGTGCCCACAGAAACGGACCAAGCTCTCTCAGTCTCTTTTCTCCAAGGATATCACTTCCCTTTCTTCCCTCTTTCTTCTCCTGAAGAAGTATTTGGTGCTCTTGTACAAAATCTGTTGTTCATATTTAGGTACTTTATTTGATACTTCTTCCCTAGTCAAAGCCCAGTGTTTCTCTGGCTTTTTACAGGTTGAGGCTGGAGAGGAGGGACTCTGTTCTATGGAGTTTTGACCTTTAATTCAAGCCAAAAACTGCCAGAGAAGTTTAAAAATAAGAAGCAGAAAGGTCTTTAAAATCATGGCAAGAGTGCATTTTTCCTCTGATTCTTTCCATTCACCGAAATGGCTGAACTATTTTTACTTAGAAATAAACAAGAAAAACTATTTTTTGGGATATGAAGGCCAAACCTGGAAAATAACCACTCCAAGGTGAAAGTTTGATTTAGTTATGTGTAACTGCAGAAGCATTTCAGAACTCAGAACAGAAGCACCTGGAGAGCTTCAGCTGTGACTTTTGCCAGGAACTTCATATGCTGTATGGAGCTATAATGAAATGTTTAGATGTTGAATTGGGAGCATTTTTCCCATCCTTTCTCCCTGCTTGGCAGTTCTTCTGCATTTTCCGTTGTAGTTTGCTTCTGTTCAGAGCTGTCCTATCTCTGGAGAGTCCTTCACAGAGCTGCAGAGAGCTGTTCCTCAGAATCCCCTATACCTGGGCAGTGCTCTGTGATCCTTCATAGATGTTTCAGGACTATGAAGTAGACACTCTTCTCCAAGCTCTGCAAATACATAAACCAGGATCTAATTTATTGGTGTCTTTTTTCCTCCTCACTTGAACAGAATAAGCCAGAGAACCTTCAGCCATCGGTGGGGTCTCACCAGCCAGAAGTGTCCCACCAAACTCAGCCTGACCTCAGTTCTCAGGGACCCACTTGCACAAAGGTCGGAGGCCAAACTTCTGATGAATCCAAGCCAGGTCCTGAAGGAGACGGGCAGTTTTTATCCCCGAGCCAGAAGGACATTCAGACCCTGCAGGATCTGGTGGAGTTGGCCAGGGAAGGACTCACCCTTACTCAGTGGAACCTTGACACAGGCCATGTTCAGGCAGCAGAGCAGCCAGGTGAGTTCTGGCAGCTTTTTGAGCCCTGAGCTGGTTCTTTCAGCTACACAGAGCCAGACTGTGGCTGGGCTGAGTCAGAGAGCCATGGCAGCATCCACAGGTTGTTGGTGTTGATCCAAGAGGTGATACTGTGAGGGCACATTTTCCTGCAATAAGATGTAGATACAATCAACCTGTTATTTCTGAAATGAGTCATAAATCCCAGCTTTTAAGAGAAGTCCTGGACAGCAGATACTAAATTTCATTTTAAAATTAAAGATATCAAAGTATTTTCTGCCAGAAGGGAGCCTGGATGTGTTCAGTCAAACAAAACATCTTCATTCCTGCTTATCTTGGGCATACAAGAGAGCTGGAGAGGGACTTTTCACAAGGACATATAGGACAAGGGGGATTGGCTTCAAACTGAAGGAGGTTGTATTTAGATTAGGTATTGGGAAGGAATTGTTCCCTGTGAGGGTGGGGAGGCCCTGGCACAGGGTGCCCAGAGAAGCTGTGGCTGCCCCTGGATCCCTGGAAATGTCCAAGGCCAGGCTGGATGGGGCTTGGAGCAACCTGGGGTAGTGGAAAGTGTCTCTGTCTATGGCAGGGATGGAACTGGATGGGCTTTAAAGTCCCTTCCAACCCAAACCAGTCTGTGATTCCATGATTCTACCTGGACAGCCTTTCTGTTATGTGCACTGTCTTTTCAGGTCTTGAGACAGTCGGATGAGAGAGATGCACAGGAGGGATGATTTTGTGTTGGACATCGATTACACAAACCTGAAGTTTATCTGTGCCTACTCAGGGTTGAAAAAATACAACACCTGGAATTCCTCTGTGGGCAGCTCTCTAATGTCCCCAGTCACAGTTGCATGTGGTGCACAACTGCACATTTCAAGGGCAGTGGGACCCCTTAAAGTGCTCTGGCTCTTCAGTAGAATCTATTGTGTCTCCTGTTCATCTGTGAAAGAGAGCACAGTTCCCAAGCTCACCTGTCTGCATTTGTACTTGGATATAAACTCCTCATTTCCTCTGCTAAACTGCAGCAAGTGGTCCCTGGCCCTTTAATGTGTATAAATAACAGTGAAATGGTGCTTAGGTACCCTCAACCTGTCACAACCCAGAGCCAAGCCCTACAAAAAGGCATGAGGAAGAGGCTGAGCCTTCAGCCAGCCAGCCTGGTCACAGCAGGTGTCACAGCAAGAATCTTCTTAGCAGTTCTTAGATCATTCTGTCTCACAAGGAAGTTGTATGTGACTTGTGCATTTTCTTCCCTGAGGAGAAGATCTGACTCCCAGTGATCCTCCACATAGTGGCTTTGTGCTCCCATCCAAGGAGAAGAGCCTCCTCAGGAGCAGCAGTAAAAGAGTAAGAATAACCTTTTTTTCCACTCTTTACATATTCATCTATAACAATTTAAAAAAAGCTGTTGCATTTGTGCAATTCAAAGAAGTGTGGACTATTTCCCATTGCTTTCTGTGGAAAGAGTGGTGCTTAAGGTTCCCAGTGACTGAGGATTCATTATAGGCACAGGTGAGATCACACCTGGGGTGTTCCATCAAAGCCCACAAGAGCCTGGGGACTTTTCAGTTCTTGTCCTACCTGGTGAGAGATTATTTTAATGCCAGGGAACAGAAGGCCAGGCTGTGCAGATTAGGGGGTTGTGTTGTAGCACTGAGAGTGTTTGGTGGTATGAAGCAGAGATGCAGCTGCAGCATGTTGTGCAGCACACTGCTTTAATGCCCAGGAGAAAACTGGCAGCAGCCCAGGAGAGACAGAGCTGCTGCTGCTCCCTCTGGGCTCACACACCCAGCCCTGGATGGTTCTGAATGGAGCTCCTTCCTCCTCTGGCACCTTCCTCCCCACACCGTGTCCTGCTGTGCGAGGGGGAATTCTTGCAATGACTGGTTGACTTGTACTAAATCCTGGCACAAAAGCCTGGTAGATGAAGGAATGTTGTGAGGGCCATGGAATATGAGCAGTTGTTGCTGCTAATTGAGCTTTTAAAGGGTTTGATGTAGAAAACCCTCAACTGTGGGAATACAGAGGATCTAGTTTGAAAATCAGTGTGTGCTCTGTGGTGACTGAGTGAGAAACACAGCCTAGTAAGTCACAGATTATTTTTTTTGTCAAACCTGTGGTGTTCTGTAGATGTCATTTTATCCCACATGCACCAGAGGATGTGTAATTTTCCATGAATGTATAATCAGTTTTATTCAATTGAAGTTCATACAAAATAAAACTAATTAATTTTCTTACCTAGGTCATCCATTTTATCTGATAAAACTTACTATCTTTTGCTTGATAATGAATAATCATGCCCTGAAAGGAAGTGCATTTTGGTGCTGGATAAATTTTGATGCTCTGACAACATACTTCCATATGCTTAAAGGATTAAGATACTTCTAAAAGGAGACAATTCCTTGAGCTGAGAATTGGTGTTAAACTTGAGCATCCCAGCTACTTGGTACAGAAGCTCTGGATATTATTTGGGAGTATTCAAAAAAATTATCCTTAGCAGGAAAATGTCTTGTTTTGTTTTTCTATTAAACCAGAAGCCTTTAGCAATACACAAACTGTTCTCACACTGTTGTTGAAACTCAGTTGCTCCCAGCAAAACCAGTATGGTCATTTTTTCAGAGTCTGTTTGATTCCATTATAGTTTTCCTGAGCAGATGAAGTGTTGAAGAGCTGGATTGTCAGTGGGAGAGATTTGTGCTTTATATGAGCACAAACAGTGTAACCATGTAGAGCAAAAGCACTTATTGCATTGGTAACACATCCCCTGTATGAAAACCCTTGGTCACATCAGTGGGGTCCAGTCTCAGTGGCCTCCTCAGCAGGAGAGAATGTTCTCCAACACACAGCTCAAACCTGCTCAGAGCTGTCTTCTGGCCAGTTTCTCTGCCTTGCACAGAGAATGGAGCAGCCAGGAGGTTTCTGGCCTTGTTTAATTTCCCCATTCTTGATTGATAATTTTAGCACCAGCAGGAAATCTGTTCTGGGCTCACTGCCTGGAGCGTCGCATCGGGAGCTGTGTTTGCTGGCAGCCCCAGAGCAGCCTCACAGGTATCCCACCTGCCAAGAATAAGAAAGCAAGAAGAGTCAGATTAGTTTCCAAACTGAGTTTTCTGTCTTCCCTTTGGAGATCAGTCCACAGCACTGCCACAACATGCAGAATGTTCCCCAGCCCACCTATGAAGGCCTGGAGAAATGTTCTTGGTGTGTGCTGCTAATTCCTGCTGGCTGGAGCGAGTTGAAAGGTTGGCTCTCCACAGCCACTGCTAATGTAGAAACCTGCTAAGAAAATTGAGATCTGTGTTGTTCCAGGTGGAACTGCATCTCCTGCAGATGTTCCCTGGAATAAAACTTGCAGTTCCTCAGTTCTGCAGTAGGTTTGAAAAGCACAAGGTCAGTGATTAGGGTGTTAACCATAAACTGGTTTCAGGCAGTTTCTCAAGCCAGCTGTGATCCTAGGGTGTTTTACACTTCCCTGAAGCACTCCAGGGCTACCTCCAGAGCTGCAGCACTAGGAGGGATCTGAATCTTCAGGAAGTTGCCTTGAAGCAGCTACAGAGGAGCTGTCTTGCCATCCTTGCTCTTTGGCAGCGTACCCCAAGCCTGACCTTGCTGTCACCATAACACACCATATCACAGGTAACTCAGCCCTCCCCAGAATTCTAGCCAAAGGTTCTGGAATGATAATAAAAGTTGCATTTCTTTTTTAAAATGGAGTGGAATTTACAAAAGAGGTTTCATTAGCATGCTCATAAATCCCTTTAAACTGGATGCCTATGTTAGTTTTATTCTGTTGGAGCCCCTTGTTGCAGATCTGCTCTTCTCAGCTATCATTGCCAGACAGTGAAAAGAGAGAAGAAAGGCTCATTACCCCCTCCTGAGTCATCCTCTTTCCTCTTATCCTAATTACAGTGAATTGAGTTCAAGTCTGTTGAAGTGGAAGTTACAGTTTCCTAAAATTGTGGTGGGAGGCAGTAGATCAAGAGGCCAACTATAGGTTGTGGCTAGACCACAGCAGGAAACATGTGGTGAGATCTGAGGGTGATAATGAGCTGTGACACAAGTACAGCACAATACAACACAACTGCCCTTTCTCCACCACGGGCAGGCTGGGAAAAAGTAGAGGAAAACAAAGCAGGAATGTCTGTTAGACATTATGTCTGCTTGTCCTGTGGAAGACCAGAATTTCCTGAAGCTGATGATTATCTTCAGGAGGCAGAGGTGGTGTGTCCAGGCTGGGCCCACCACACAGCAGTGCTGAAAAACTGTGTTACTCCCTTCTTATTTTTCTGGAAAAGTGCTTGACAGCTGTAACCTAACACCTGTCTTTGTGCTCCTTCTGTGTCCTAGTCTTCTCTCAGGCTGTTGGCTCAAGATTTTGGTGCCATGGTCAACAACCCCCACCTGAGTGATGTCCAGTTCCAGGTGGACAGCGGGGATGTCCTCTACGCCCACCTGTTCGTGTTGTACGCGCGGTGCCCGGCGGCGGCTCAGGCTGTGAGTGCTGCTGGCATTCCTTCTGCTCCTGGTTAGGAGAGCCCAGACTGCCCCCTCCCAGTGCCAGCCAGTGCCCCAAACCAGCACAGAACACTGCTGGGCTTAATGGCAACTGCCTTGGGAACTGCAGTGGTTTTCAGCTTAGGAAATCAGAATAAATCCTGACAAAGTGGTGAAAGATGTGCTACTTCATCCTATTGAGGGAGGTTATGGGTAGTCAAGGATCCTTGCATTCCACCCATGAGCAATGAAGGAAGCTTTCTAAGTGCTTCTTGCCCTTGCATTTTTGTCCCTGTGCAAGCACAGACTGCCTTGTCCATCTTGGTGTGTCCTGCCTGTCACACAGGCTGGGAAGTGTGAGCAGGGAATAGGAAGATTCTGGGAAGTACTTAAAATAATCTACATAGAGATTTTGTCACTCTTGCTTTGGAGGTACGTGCACTGGCTGCACTTTCTGCAAGGCTAGTGAAGGAGTTCTACTGTTCCCAGAGCATTTTAGGTTGAACAGCTCCCAGCCTGCTCCTGTGCAGCTTCTAGGTAAATTCAAAACAGGCCAGATGAAGCTCATACAGAGAGGTGTAGATGGAAATTGGGCTGGGAAGTAATTTGATTGCAAACCTAAGTGGAGAATTTTAAGACCACCTTTTATATGTGTGACTAAGGCAAGAAGTTAAACAAAGTTAAGAGCCATAGGGTCAGGAGGGACATGGCTTGTTCCATAGGGAGCTCCACATAACCCTGCCTTGGCATCCTGGTCCTGGGACTGGGAATGAGTGAATGGAAGGAGCTGATGGGAACCAGGATGAATGTAGGTGTTGTGTTGCTTTATTAACAAACAGACTTTGCTTTCTGTGGCCCAGGTGCACAGCGAGGGGTTGGTGGTGGAGGAGGACGGGGCCGCGCCGACGCACCGGGTGCTGCTGAGTGATGTGTCTGCCGAGGCTGTGGCTGCCTTCCTGCGGTACCTCTATGCTGCTGACACCAACTTCCCTCCTGGGCTGTGGCCCCAGCTGCAGGCTCTGGCTGCCAGGTGTGTACCCTGAGCATGTTTTGGACCCCCTCAGGCTTTCAGCCACACAGATCCCAGTTTGAGATCTTCCGTTGCAGTTTTAATGGCTTACAAACTCCATAGTCCTTTGCTACATCTTAAATGAAACTTGGCAGTAAGGACATCCTGCCCTCAGCTTTTCTGCCTGTATGAGAGTTTCTGTGTTCAGTATGTGCTCAGCAGACTTTGGCTGAGTTTTGTCTCAGGATGTCTGTTGGCAGCTGATATTGAGGGTGATGAGCACAACTTCTGTGTGTGATTCTCACTTCATCTGAACAACACTCTTAGAATGTATTGGATGCTCAGGCTTTCATGTGTTGTGTCAGCCATGCTCTCAGTCATGGTCCTAGGCATGCACTAAGAGCTTGAAACAGGAGCAGTTGCTGAGATATGAGTGGGAAATGGTTGGGGCTTTCCAAATGTATATAGAGAGGTGCCCTGTCACTCCAAAAAGCCAGGAATCTTTCATATGGCAGATATTTTCTAGCCCTAGCCATTCTATGGGACATTATCATTGTCAAGGGGATTTAGTGTAGTCAGTCTCAAACACAGAAAGGAAGAATGTGCCTGATACTTTCATGTGACGCCTGGAAAAGGGTATTTGGAATTTAGGAGTACACTGGACCTTGTACATCTTAGGAAACTCAACTCAATATCCTCATGTAAATTCTTTACAAAGCTCACAAAAGTGATCTGACAGCCAAATGGTGAAGAAATACTGGAGAGAAAAATACCAATGTTACTATTGTATCCTTGCAGGTTTGGTGTAAGGCAACTGATGGCAGAGTGTGAAAACAACCCTGCAGAGAGCCATGTGTCCTCTGGAGTGGATTCAGAAGACGACCTTATCTCTGTGAGGGATGATGAAGATTGTGAGGACAGAGCTGAGAACTTCCAAGACCTCTTGAAGTCAGTGTGGGTGGGTGAAGATGAGGAAGAAGTAGCTATGCTGAGCCCTGAGTGCCAGAAGGAGGATGACAGTGAGATGGGAGAACAAGAGCTAGAGGAAATCTATGAGTTTGCTGCAACTCAGAGAAAGATGGCTCAGGGTGAAAGAGAGGTGAGCAAGGGAACACACTGCAGCATCTGCAGTGACACCGAGGCAGTCCAAGGTACCAATCAGCAAACTGAGCAGGAAGAGGTAAAGAGACCTGAATCTGCTTCAATAAGCAACAGCCTCAAAGATCTGAGGGATGGCAGCGGTGTGGAGAGATCTAAATGTGACTTGTCTGCACATGAAGAGAAGATGCAGAATATAAACAGGTGCAAGGGCATGAATGATCCACAGACCACTATTGTGCCTCACCACAGTGAACCTCAGAAATGGGATGGAACATCCCATGGTGCTAATGAAGGGGGGGCTGTTGGGGAATGTGAGAATGTGAAGGATTCCAGGTCACCTCAGGTCTCACATGACAAGGCAGATCACTGTGAAGAGCAGTTTCCTGGTTTCCAGGGTGATACTGATATAAATGACAGCTATGAACGTTTGTTTTCTGCCTCTCAGGGAGATCACTGTGAGCCTTCCCCAGTGAAAGAAGTTACCAAAGAATCAGGAAAGTCCCCTAGTGAAAAACATGTTGGTCTTAATGATTCACTTCTGTTCAGCAAGTCACAAAAAGACTGCTCTCCATGTAAGAATGGATTTTGTGGGAATCCAAGTCCCCAGCCCTATGTGTCCCTTTTTCCTGCTCTTGGCTCTTCACCTGCATCTCCAAAATCAGAGGGAAAGTTTGCCAGGGAACATGTGTCAACACCAAAGCAAAACAAAAAGGAAAAATCATTTCCATTTGATGAAATACACTCCCAGAAAGCCAAGGAGCTGGGTGCTGCATCGAGAAAGGAGATCTTATTTTCTCCAGCAGAGCTTCCTCACAGTGAATCAAACAAGCACACACATGTCCCAGTGTTGTCATCACCAAGCAGGACTCAGGATGATCAGGGCAGAGCTCAAGGGATCAAGGAGGGTGATGTGATTGTTTTATCTTCTTCTGATGATGAAATGGAGTTTCAACAAGGCAAGAGGTTGCCAGAGTCTGACTCTGCTCTGAAAAAAATGGAAACCTCTGGGCATCTGAAATGTACAGACATGGAACAAGGTCCTGAGATACCTAAAACTGACCCTAACTCATCAGTTCCTGAAACAGAGCAGAGATCAACCCAGGTCTTATGTGGCAATACAGACTCAGTATGTGTAAGTGTCTCCCATGTAAAGGTGTCCCCTGAATTCCCTCTCAGTAGACAAACAGGTGCTTGTACAGAGATCAAACAGAGTCCAAACCAAAGCCCTAGGAAAAGGCTCAGTAATGAAATGTCTCCAGGCACAGACAGCTCCTGGCTTGTGCCAGGAACACCAGTTCTGAGCAAAAGCAGAAGCTTCTCAACACAGACTGAGGTCACAAGCAGTAATTCTTTAAAGGGTCCAGGATCTAAACTCAGCACAAAGAACTTAGCAGTAGGTAATAGTAACCATGAAATGACTGGAAATTTAATAAAAGTTCATGAAACAATGTTGTCAAACAAACATTTGCCTGTGGAGAACTCAGCCAGTGGAAGGAGCCCACCCAGCAGCCCAGCAAGAGAATCCTTTTCCAAGAACCCCCTTCCAGTTTCTCCAGTAGATCCAGTTCTCCTCTCCCCTGGCTACACCAGCACAGAAAGCAAACGTGCCAGTATCTCAGGTTTGCCCACACTGGTGCCTCCATGCCAGCAGCAGCCACTGGAAGATAACATCAACATCAGTGTGGTTGAGCTGGAGGACAGTGACAGGGAAGAAAGTCTGCCTTCTCTGGGTAGCAGTGTCCTGCTGTGTGAGGAGCCCCCAATCCCTGTTCCTGACTGCTGGCACATTGGGTATCTGTCACCAGCCAGAGGTGACAGCCACAACTCCGGCCGGGTCAGCCGTGCAAAGACCAGCATGGCCAGCAGCCCCAGCCCTGGCTCTTGGCAGGAGCAGGGGGACAGCCCAGTCCAGGTACAGGGAATTCAGGGCAGCACCCCTCTCCAAGGAAGTCCTGCTGGCAGGAGAACAACTTTGCACTGCCCTGAGAAGAGCCCTGTTGAGCCATGTTCATCAGTCGGCAGCAGAGCCAGTTACCTGGACTCCAAAATCTGGGATGACTGGAATGGAGAAGAGAAGGAAGATGAACTTCCAGAGATTCTTCCTCTGTCTCAGAGGTTGGCAGCTGCAGCAGGGGCCAGTCGGACAGATCCTGTCAAGACTCCTGGTGAGAGCTTGTATTGATACTAGATTTATTGGGCTAGATTAAACTGCTTTTATTTTAGTGATTATCTTACCTGTGATGCACTTGACACATTGAAAGAGTTTTTGGGCTTTCTGATGCAAAATAGTTGGCAGGCACAAAGAAGGTGCAGGCATTTGCTGTGGGAAAGAGCCTGTCTAAATGTGGGATTCCTGGAGTGTAGCCATGCATGTTTCATTTTCACTAGTCCTTTGGTAGTGACTCCTTGCAGAAGCTGTGGGTTCGTGGATAGAGAAAAAACAACCAAAACAGAACAAAACACTGGCTCCAGCCTGCGTGCCACTGAATTGATGTAATTGATACTGCAGTGTCTAATTAAATATATTATTAATTATGCCATACTAAATTATTAGTTTAAGGGGTGATTAGAACAGATGTGTGAGACTGGCTGTGCTTCACAGTATCAGTAAGCTGGTATCATTAACTCAGTATCTAACTCGAGACCCCCCAGTAGCTTGATTTGCTTAATTTTTTATGTGTCAAGTCTCTGATAAGAAATTTTCTTCCTGGGAGAAGGACCATTGCAAAGAATTCAGTAAACATAGTTTTAACTGCTTCCTAAATACTGCCTGTTTTAACAAAGCCCTTGAATAGCCTCATTTTCAGATGTGACATATGTAAAATCAATGAAAACCAAGTATCTTGGTTAAGGAAGGAGGAAAAAGTGCTGACTATCCAATATGAAACTGAGTAATAACTAAGGTAGCTTATGAGGAAATAGTTGCTATTAAACAATTATTAGCTAATATTAGATTTCTGCCACTAAGAGGATAAGTTACCAGCTATTTTAGGTCTTTTCTGTACTGATTTTCATCACAGTAATTGCATTCTGCTGCAGAATCTTCCTGTCAGGAGAACAACAGGTCCCCCAGCACTCCAGTGACACCCATGCCAGCTTATTCCATCATGGAGACCCCAGAGCTGAAGAAGGAGCTGAGCAGGTGAGCATTACCTCCCCCAGGATAGCTCCTTACAAGAGGAACCTGCTGGCAGGTAGTGTGAAAGAAGGGGAACCATGCTGAAGCTCCAGCCAGTGCTTTCTGAGGTCACACCACATTTTTCCAGCTGCACCTCCTGGCCTGTGCCTCTTGCTGAGCTGTGACAATGGAAGGTGCAGTGTTATTGTAACCTAAATTCCCACCTTCTCTTTCAGATTCGGTGTCCGTGCTCTCCCAAAACGCCAGATGGTGTTGCAGCTGAAGGAGATATTCCAGTACACTCACCGGGATGGGGACTCTGACTTTGAGGATGAAATCCCCTATTCCCAGCCCCTCCCACAGAGGTCCCCAGCCAAACGCCCGAGGCAGGCAAAGGCAGGCCGGGCTGCGGGCAGGAATCGCGCCGGCGCCCCGAGGCTTGTGGGCAAGAGGAAACAGCTTGCCAAGGCTTCTGCAGTGCTCCCTAGGGATGAGGCTGATGGTGCATCCCACGGAACAGGCTGTGCCTCACCCAAGGACAGAACTAAAGTGACACATCACCCAACAGGGGCCAAAGAACAGGAAAGGCCATCGGTGTCCCTGGCAGCTGATGGCGAGGAGCTCCCAGCATCCCAGGAGTCAGCAGGTTCTTCGGTGGATGGAAGTGACATCTCCTTTGGTTCACAGAGGTGAGGCAGTGAAATCCTAGGCAAAACACTCAGGGTTGCAGGGCAGAGGTGAGGTAGGAATGAGGCAGATAGAGGTGAGTGTCCCTGTGGCCTACAGTGGCCCTGCCGCCTCCTTGAGTGTGTCACGTGGGAGGTCAGCAGACTCCTACAAAAGAAGCAGGCTTTGGATTTTCAGTTTCTACTGAACTATTCTCAGAACATAAAAGGGCTGCTTATGAGCAAGGCCCAAATCTGGTGTGCCTGGTCTGCAGGTCAGTGACATGAAGCACTCCATGCTGCCTGAGAACCTGCAGCTGGAGTTGGGAGAGGACAGCACAGCACCCCTTGGCAGAGCCTGCCAGGAGCCAGGAATTCCATACAGCTCTGGGCTGGGCAAGTTGGACCAGCACTGTCCTGGCTGTGCTGGGAAGTTTGCAGAAGCCCTGCCATGTTCTGCCTCATTCGTTTTGTGGGTGCTAGTAGTGCAGGGTCTGTGATCCCACAGAGGGAAGTCATAGGGCTTCACTGTCAGGGATTTGGGGAGCTCTGGTCCTGTTCTTGTTGGCCTATTTTTCCCTTGACCTCTGGTTTGTTTTGTCCTGATTTTAGTTCCTTTGTAAATGGATTTGAAACCTGTGCTTTTGAGTCTGAGGAGGAGGAAGAGGAATTTCCAGCATCTCAAGCAGCAGCTCGGGAAGAGGAAAAGCTGGAGGCAGTAAGGTGCTACATCCGCTCAAACACAGCCCTGTACAACAGGATTCTCTTCTATGAGCCCATCGAGCTGGCTGATCTGCATGCAGAGCTCAAACAGAATGGCATCAAAATTTCCAAGGCAAAGCTGCTGGACTTTCTGGATTCTCAATGCATCACATCTACCATGGCCAGAGCCCGGAAGGAGCAGGAACAGAAAAGGAAGGAGAACAGAAAACAGAGAAGACGATACCAAGTGAAGTCCGCTCCTACCCGCTGAAACTTCTGTTGTTGGAGGCCTTGCTGCCAAGCTGGAAAGCCCATTCCCAGCTGGTGCTCCAGCAGCAGGGTGGAGTACTGCTGCTCCTCAGGGTTCAAGCCCAGGTGACATCCCGGAGAACAGGCCTGAGCCCCTCTGCTCTGATTGCACAAATGTCCCGTGGCTGCCCTGCCCTCAGCACACAGCTCACCTGAAACCTCTTTTCACCCAGTTTGACTATTGTGCCTTTTCTTTCCATTTTTCTAATAGATTTTAGGTCCGCAACTTTTCTTTGTGCTGGTGCTTCCCTTAGTGACACTTGCCAGGATCTGTTCTCTGGGTTTGGCTGTGAAATGCTTCACCCTTCGTGTTCTGGGATTCAGTCCACTCTGTCAAGCACTGCCTGATTACAATCCTGTGACTTCCATCTTCATTTCTTCAGCACAGTTTGCACCGCTGATTTTTAAGGCAGGGAATGCTGTGAAAATACAGAAAAGGCGTTTTTTCTTGCTTCACTTGGCAATCTGTACTAAAAGTCCTAAATTGGTTTCTAAAATGGCTGCAGAACAGGGCTGGGGTTTGTTCTGTTCCCTTTGTGACACCTCCCAAAGAACACCCCATGGCATGGGAAAGCCCCCAGCAGAGATGTTTTTAAGAAAATATTTAAGTGAGCACTGGACCTTTTCAGCACTTCTCACAGCTTGAGATAAATCTACTCCTTGGATCAGTCCCATTGCCAAACTGGACTGGTCTCAGTTGTAAAATGTCTGGGACTGCTGGGGAAGTCTTGGACCCTAAATTCTCATATTTTATATATTGACCTTCACAACAACTTCTGAGTATTCTGGCAGTTCTAAGTGTGCAAATGCTCACTGAAAACCACAGATACAACACAAAATGAAGGCAGATTTATAAATACCTTTGTGTATGTTGAATATATATTTTTTTTATACAGAATTTCCTTTTGATTTACATTATATACAATAAACAATTTAAATAATGTTCATTCTCGTATGGAACAGTAAACAAACACAGGACTGTATAGAAAGCATGAACTTTATTGAACTAGACTACTCTTCCCAGCTTCAACTACAGGGCAAGAGCATGAAGCCTATGCCTAAAAGACCTAAACTTGAACTCTTCGAAGAACTTTAACTGGGGCTGCAGAAGACTTCTGGGAAACCTATTTTTCTAATAACAAAAGGGGTTCCTAACACCTATGGGCAGGAATGTCCCAGTGCCCAATGCTGGCTTGCTTTCCATATCATGCCAGTATAAAATTTCTTCTGGAGGCATTTTATGTCAGATGTCTAACGGAATGTAAAGTGCCTGGGAGAGGTGATGCAGCCTTTGGCAGAGCCATCCCTGTGATTACCCACAGGAAGATGTGGACTCCACATCACTGCAAACATTCAAGTCCAGGTTGGATGGGGCTTGGAGCACCCTGGGATAGTAGAAGATGTCCCTGCTCATGGCAGGGGGTCGAATGGGATGGGTTTTAAGGTTCCTTCCAACCCAAACCATGTGTGATTGCTAAGAATTTAGATTCATGCCCAAGATTGGCACAATCCCACTGCTCTCTTCACAACACTTTCTAGACCTGGGTGACTCCAGCCCAGGTTGGGCACCCATATCCTAGAAGAACATGGAGCCCAGATACAGATCTCCAGAGTTCTGGTGCCCTGTGGAAAACTTCTTCCCTCAGAAAGCGCTGGCTGCCATCGCATCCTGTTCTCTGGGCCTCTGCAGTGAAGGCTCCGTGTTCCCTTCCCGCCTGAAGCCCTGCTAAGGTCTCAAAGGGAATTCCCCCCCGGCGGCCGTGGCGGCTCGCCCAGCACACGGGGAAAGGCTCGGGAGCGAGCGGGCAGCAGGAGCCGGGTACCGAGCCCTCAGGGGGGCTGAAGCCGCCATCGCGGGCCGCCCTCACGGCCGGCGGGGCCACCATTGGCCACCATTGTCGGTCACGTGACCGCGCCTCAGCGGCCGCGGAGTCGCCGAACGGAACTGAGGGGCCGGGACGGGAACAGCGGCGGCGCTGGCACCGGGGTCACCGGAGGGGTGGGGCAAGACCCCCTCCCGCCCCACAGCTCCCGCGGGTCTTCAGCGGCTCAGGGGGTCTGGTACACCCCCACAGAGCCAGCCCCTGCTCGGTGGGTAAATCCCAGCCAGTCTGACCCGCCCCGTGTCTTTCCCCGGAACACGTCCCCTGAAAGGAGCTGGAAATGATCTCCCACATGGATCAGAAGGAGGAACGGTGGTTCTCACACCGCCGCGCCCACCGAGGGAAGTCTCAGACAGTGCTGAGCAGCACTTGTGCAGGTAAGGTGATGGTACAATCATGCAGTCATTAAGGTTGGGAAAAGCTCACTAAGATCGTGGAGTCTGCCCATTAACCCAGCACATATGTGAACCTGTCGGTGAGAAAAAACTGCTCCAGGATTCCCAGACCCTACCGGAATGCATAGTATTGGTGATACCAGGATGGACCACGGTCCTCCCAGTGGTCCCTAGCAGCAGGGACCAGAGAAGGCAGACAGGCTGTGGTGTGATCCTGGATGCTTTCCCAGGCCCTGGCACTCTGTGACTTCAGAAACTGCTAAAGCAGACCTGCAATGTCTCAGTATCTCACAGCTCTCTCTGTATTTTCTTGCCGTGTGAAGTTGTGCATGTTTTAGCATCGGTGACAGCTTGCAGCCAGTAGTTCCACAGCACATTCAGCTGCTCTGTGAGTTGCTGCTTTCTTTAATTTGAAGCTGCCTTCTGATAGCTCACTTCATGTCAGTTGTTCTTAATTCAGAGCAGATGGTGCAGGAGGGGTCCCCACTCACCCCACGGGCCACTTGTGGTTTCCTAGTCTTCTGCAATACCTCTGTCAGCTGTATGCTTTATCTCCAATGCAGAAGCTGTTCTGTGCCTTTTATTATTCATGTCATGCTCTGTATCTTCCTCAGCTCTTTTGGAATTTCTCTGGAGGATCCATCCCTGCCCTTGCACACAGCCAAGTTGTGGGGTTTGAGCTGCAAGGGCACAATTACATTTTCTTTATTCTCTGTTTTTCCCTGAAAATCATTAACATTTGATGAGCTATTTTGTCTGCCTGGGAGCTGCAGTTTTCATCCATCTGCTCCAAGGGGCTGTTCCAGAATGTTATCAAGAACATCTGAGGCCCATCCATAGAGGAGCCCTCTATACCAGCTCCTGGTATAGAGGCTGTTCCCCTCTACACTTCTTTGTTTACCTGCAGTGAATGTCCTCTGTCATTCCCCTGTCCCCTGGTTGGTCAGTAACCATAAGGCTCTGACACAGTTTATAGTCAGCCTTTGTGTCTGAATAACAGAATCATCAGCACCTCCCCTTTCCCTTTCTTCTCAGCTTATGAGGGTCATTTATCCACTGCAGCTGAGTTTCCTTACCAGTTTTGGCCAAGGATTAATGTCTTCGAGAATGCCCTTGGTCTCCAGAACTTCCTTTTGCTAAAATTGGTGACATCTCTGAAGAACTCCAAGTGGATTCTCATGAGAAAAAGATCCATCCAAGGGTACATTTAAGGTGATATTTAGGTTTTTCTCAGTGTCTGCACTTACTCTGCTTACCTGAAGCTTGACTCGGATCTTGTCACTGGCAGCCTTGGGCATATCAGAGGCTTGAGATCAACCCAAATTGACACAGGCTGAGGAAGAACCACACTCCTTGGTCCAGTTGTTTGGTTTTTTTTGTTGGTTTTTTTTCCCAGTTCAGCCTTATACTTCCAGTATGAATTCCTGAGCATTGTGAACTTATTCTCCTTTGACTTAAAACACTTCCAGTGCGGTCTTGGCATCATGATTTTGATCAAACCCTTTACAGCCAACAGCAACAGAGCTGTTGCTCCCAGGCTCACTGTCTGCTTAGTAAGTCTGACCCACAGGGCAAGGACTTCATGATGGGCTGCCAGAAATGTCATTATCCTGTCTTTGGATGTCCCTCTTCTCTTTTCCTCCAGATCCCATCTGGATGGAGTAGCTGCAGACACATGGCTATCAATGTTCAGTTTCTGTTACTCTCATGGAACCATTTTAAGGAAAACTATATAAAGTGTCAGTGTCACACCAAGCTACTGTAAAAGGCATCTCAGGAGTTCACTGTGAAATCACACTGTGTTGTTTTCTTACACTGCCCAGAAAGAGAAAGATCAGATGTGTACTTATATAATCTGGGCTGTAACTCTGGACTCTTCTTTTCTTAGTTCTGCAGTGCCTCTCCTGCTCCAAGACTTCTTCATCCCAGTTCTGTGTGCTCTCCCACACATCCATGGGAGCATAAAGCTGCCTTTCTTCTGCCTCTTAAGAGTGGCATAAGTCGTGTTTGAGGTGTCTGATTTCATCCCTTAGTGCCTCCTTTGGGAGTGCCTCTCTCTGCAGCACCAGCAGGTCAGGGATGTTGCATTTGTTCTGCTGAGCAGGACAGTTCTTTGTGGCACTTCCATGACTCTCAGTTCAGCTTTTAATAACTTTTCAGATATCCTAGAGCAGCAGCCATCTTTCCCATTCAAGCACTAAACTTTTATCCCTAGTATGCCAATAATTTCAGTGGATTCAGGTTCTGTCAGAGCACACAGGGCTATTCCCAGAGTTTGTTCGTGTGAACATACTGAGAAATGCACTGTGCAGTTTGAAAGGAAATATCAGAACTTTCTATAAGAGTCAATCTGGTGAATCTTTGTCATTTGATCCCTTTTGATTTCCCCTATCTAAAGTTTCCTGTCTGTGACTTCTATCCAGATTCTTGTTTTATTGCAGCTGAAGGTGGGATTGTGAGCAAAAAAGAGAATAATTCCCACCAAGGCATCCCTGGGCCAGCAGAGCCTGAGGTTTTACTCTCAGGACTCTCCAAGGAGAACAATTCTCAGAGTTCTGCTGAGGACCCAGTCGTCCCACAGAGGTCAGAAAATGTTCAGAGTCCTCTGGAGAAGACGCAAAGCCAAGCAATGCTGTGTGGGAAAAGTTTCAGGAAGCTGCCAGATACTATCCAGCAGAGAAATTCTTCTGTGGAGAGACTGATAATATGTGGGGACTGCGGGAAGAGCTTCCGTGTGAGTTCCAACCTCATCCAGCATCGGAGAATCCACACTGGAGAGAAACCCTTCTCCTGCACCGAGTGTGGGGGGCGTTTCCGGCAGCAGTCCCATCTCATCCAGCACCGGAGGATCCACACGGGAGAGAGGCCCTACGAGTGCTCCGAGTGCGGGAAGAGCTTCAGCGTGAGCTCGAAGCTGCTCCGGCACCAGGTGACCCACACCGGGGAGAAGCCCTTCAGGTGTGCCGAGTGCGGGAAGAGCTTCTCCGGGAACTGCCAGCTGGTGCAGCACCGGCGGGTGCACACCGGGGAGAAGCCCTACACGTGCGGCAGCTGCGGGAGGAGCTTCAGCGTGAGCTCAGCCCTGGCGCGGCACCGGCGAGTCCACACCGGGGAGAAGCCCTATGTCTGTGCCGAGTGCGGGAAGAGCTTCTGTCAGAGCTGCGAGCTCATGAAGCACCAGCGGGTGCACACCGGGGAGAAGCCGTACAAGTGCTCCGAGTGCGGGAAGAGCTTCACCGGGAGTTCGGCCCTCATCCAGCACCGCCGGTTCCACAGGGGCGAGCGGCCGTACGGGTGCTCCGAGTGCGGGAAGAGCTTCACGGTGAGCTCCCACCTCATCCAGCACCGCCGCTTCCACACCGGGGAGCGCCCCTTCGAGTGCACCGAGTGCGGGAAGAGCTTCCTGTGGAGGTCGGCCCTGCTGCGGCACTGGCGGGTGCACAGCGGGGAGCGGCCGTACGCCTGTACCGAGTGCGGGGACAGCTTCAGGCAGAGCGCCCACCTCACCCAGCACCGCCGCACCCACAGCGGGGAGCGGCCCTACGCCTGTGCCGACTGCGGGAGGGGCTTCGCCGTGAGCTCCGCGCTCCTGCGGCACCGGCACGTCCACAGGGCGGGACAGCCCTAGCGAGCCTGATCCCGGGCTCTGCGCTCTCTCCATTGACTGCCCGGCTCACGGAGTGGGAAGGCACTTTCCTTTAGGAGAACAAGTCCAAAAGGAGAGGGGTGCAAACAGGGGAGAGTCAGTGCGAGGAGCTGCCGGTCTGGAGAGGAGCGTGGACACAGCAGGGGCAGCTGGTGGTGCTGCTCAGAGGGAAAGCTCTTGGGAGGGAAAGGAAGTGCTTTAAAAAGGCTGGAATGTGCTTCGTGTATTTCAGAGGAAGGCAAATGACTCTGTGCCCACATGTGGACAATGAATACAGTGAAGCACACGGACCATTTCAGAGCCTGCAACATTGGTCAACAAAAGCTCATCTGTGTTCAGAGGCGCTGAGCTCCCTCCCTCAGCCCACGGGCTGGAGCCGTAGCCCAAAGAAGCACCCTCGGTCCCCTGCGCTGGCTACCCGTGTGTCCCC